CCCACCAAGAGGGGATGTCATGTTACTAATGCAAGCACTATGCAAGTGAGAAATACCAGACCTCCTTAACTTCTCCCAATTTGATGCCATAGAGATCTTTTGTCTGGCTCAGGTTCCTTGGAAAGCTTTAGTTCAGCCCTCTGCCCAGCATCTCCTCTGCATTTCCATTTTCCATTTATAACTATGTTTGTGAGATGTTCTGCTCTAATAGTGCTCTCCAAAGGTGCTGCTCTACAAACTAGCACTTAATTTTCAAGCCTAAGATAATGAGCACTTTAATTGCTTACATTAATTTAGTTGAACATGATAGCACACAAACAAAAACAAAGCAACATTTCAATGACAAGCTCAGGGACCAGTTTACTGTACATGCAAAACAGAAGAAACAAGCAGGCCATGTATTGTATCATTTGCCCATCCTTTCTCAAGGATGACCCAGTGCTTTCATTGTGATCAGAGAATATGAGAAAAACCACATTTACTCTCCCAGCAACAAAAATAACAAAAAATATCTTCCAAATGCAGTTTTAAAGAACAAGTTATCTTTGGGGAACAGTGACAGCTAAAATCAATATTGGATCAATAAAACCCCTGAAGGATTTCTTTTGGAAAATATTGTTCAGTAAAAAGAATATGATTGAACATTCAAACAGGACTATGAAAAATTTAAATTAGCTTTCCCTGATGGAATGCCCACCAGAGTCCAAATGTTCTGGAGTAGAGCTCTCATAACCAACTAGCTGGAGGTGATGGGAGCCATAATCCAACCCAGACACCATAACCAACTAGTTGGAGGTGATGGGAGCTATAATCCATAACCAACTAGCTGGAGGTGATGGGAGCTATAATCCAAACCAGACACCATAACCAACTAGCTGGAGGTGATGAGAGCTATAATCCAACCCATCCAAAAGTCATCAAGTTGTGGGGGAATTGATATAAAAGACAAAAGTATGTACACATTTCTTTTTGTTGTTTTTGTGTGCCTTAAAGTCATTTCTGACTTATGGTGACCTTAAAGTGACAAGATCATGGGGTTTTCTGGGGCTCAGAGTGTGTGACTTGCCCAAGGTCATCCAGTGATTTTCCATGGTAGTTCAGGGAATTGAACCCTGATCTCCAGAATCCAAGTCTGATGCTCAAGCCATTACATCACACTAGCTCTCCAGTATTTCTTTTTAATGGATATAATTCTGATCTTAGCATTGTTCCATTGTACTTAGAAGTCAGCTGAATTGTCTATGGATAGTCAACAACAAATGTTGCAAATTATCATAACTGGATCTGATATCACAGGTTTGAATTAACATCCCCCCTCCCAAAAAAAAGGTATAGTGCAATTGAGAATCTACTGAAAATCCTGTTTACAAGTAGGAAGGAAAGATGTGACAATAAGAGATCATTTTGGATCCCTCTCTCTAAAAATGTGTTCTAGATTTCTGGATCTTTCAAAAATATTTGTTTGCTTATGTGTTGTATTAAAGGCCTGAGCTTCTAGAAAAGGTACAGCTTCTAGAATCTCCCAACCACCTACTTATACTGATTGAATTATGCTGAATTAAAATTCAAGCAAAAGTGATCACTGAAACAGGGAATTCATAGTGGTCACTGACTGAAATAAACATTCAAAATTATCATTGTTTAGTAAAGTCTACACATGATTTTTTAAAAAAAAATCTGAAAAAATGCTTTGGTAATTTGAATGGATTCCAACACTGCACTGCAGGGGTTTTTTTTTTAATGATATCACCAAAATATATTGAAAGTGTATGAGAAAACTAAAATGCTCCTCTGTTTTCTCTCTGCTTTCTTGGTCTCCCCTAACTCTTCTCCCCCAAAAACTGGTGTTTAATGACATACTGACCTGAACACCAAGAAGAAGTCTGGTGGTGCAGTGGTTAAATGCCTGTACTGCAACCACTCACTCACAAACCACAAGGCTGTTAGTTCAATACCAGCCAGGGTCTTCGGGTTGACTCAGCCTGGCATCCTTTCAAGGTCACTAAAATGAGTACCCAGCTTATTGGGGTCAATAAGCTTACACATTGTAAACTGCTTAGGGAGTGCTTAAGTGCACTGATAAGTGGTATAGAAATGTAGTTGCTATTGCTATAATTCCAAGGGCACTTTCACACTCTAGTTTTTGGTGGATTTTTTAGGATTCTAAGTCAGAGAGCTCTGGTGTTTCACCAAATTATAAATCCCAGGATGCAGTCATGGGTGTAATAATGCTATAACTGTGTAACATGAAAGGCCCCTGAGATTCTATGTAGCCATTATGACCTTCTGTCATATGGTTTTTCTCTCTTTCTACTGTCCTCCATCTTTCCTAGCATCATTGTCTTATCCAATGATTCATTTCTTCTCATGAAGTGGTCAAAGTACAATAGCCTCAATGTAGTCATCTTGGTTTCCAGAGAATGCTTCACTTGATCTGTTCTAGAATCCATTTGTTTGTTTTTTAGACCATCCATAGTATCCTTATCACTTTTCTCTAGCACCACATCTTAAATACATTGATTTTCTTCCTATCAGCTTTCTTCACTATCCAGCTCTCACATCCATACATGCTGATGGGGAATATAATGCCTTGGACAATCCTCACTTTAGTGTTCAGAGTTATATCTTTACACTTTATGATCTTGTCCAGTTCTTTCATAGCTCTCCTTCCCAATTCTAGTCTTTTTCTTATTTCTTGACTGCAATTGACATTAAAGTAGCCTTAAATTCTAATTTTATAGGTCAGTGAGCTGTGATTATTTCTATGTATACATGCACATATCTCTGTCCATGTCCATGGATGGGGCAGGTTTACAGATCAGATTTTCATTTTGTTTTTAATTATTAAATTTTAATTTTAATTAATATAGACTTTTCAAACATTTCTGCAGTTTATCCCTATGTAGGGGTGCCACTGATACAGTCTCTTCTCCCAACCTCCCTTTACAGTATCAGTTTTACCAACAGATGATTCATGTTTGAATTAAATTAACAAGGGAGAGGATTTGTCCAAAATATTTTGCTGCCTGAAGTCTAGAAATTTATGTAAAAAAATTGACTCCAAAAACCTTAGTTGAGTTATCCATGGGTCAATGTACTTTAACTCTCATTATAAAAAAGGAACCATCCCCTGTTGAAAGGCAAGAGTGTCATCTGCCCTGGAAGCACTGAACCACCTCTTTTTTCCTCATCAGCCTTTAGTATGAGCACAGTTATGCCTGCTGGAATTTTGTAAGTTCTTTGGCATTCTTTTCTTTTCTTTTGCTTCATCCTTTAAACCCTTTGTTAGATGCCCCTAAGTTTTACCCTCGACTTATCCATGAGTCATATCAAAATCCATAATTTTGGTCCCCAAACCTGCCCATGAGGTCGACTTATAGTCAAGTATATACAGTACATGGTTAATAGAGGAGACAGAAGGAAGAGTGATACAGAAGAGAGTGGGTGTGATACAATAAAAAGAAAGTCTGAAAAGACAATAATGCTTGGTAAAGTGGGAGGCAGTTAAAAAAGAGGAAGACCATATTATATATGCATAGATTTGATCAAGAAAGCTACAGCCTTGAGTTTATAAGATTTGAACAGCACTGTTAATAGCATGGTCTCTTGACATTCATTGAAGGTGATTTCACAGCAATTTACAAGAAGTGTGAATTAGATTAGTTTTTATTTATATATGAAACACAAATTCTTCCCCCTTTTCTATTAACTCTCAGAATCCCTGCCCATTTTACCATGCTGGTAGGTCTGATGAGATTTGGAGCTTATCAACATCCAAAGAACCCAGCCTTATCACCTCTGCTAAGCATAATGATTTTAGATGTTGACTTCCAGTATTTCTTTCCCTTTGGATGACAAAGCAAATTATAGTCTGCTTTTGATCACAAGAATGGCCCCATTTGGAAAGGATTAAATATCCCTTCTCTGAGTACTACATACAAAATCACAGTTCCATGAAACCACTATTCTCTATTAACAAGGAGGAGAAGAAGCTTAGAAATTGATGAGAAATCTTATGGCACCTTGTGCCATTTAAAACCTAAATATAAGATGGCTTATCTTCACTTTCATATTGCGGACTCATATAAGTACCAATGACAGTTGAATTGAACTGCAAATATAGACTGTTCCCAGGTCTGAAATCATTCTGAGTGAAGAAATATATAAAAGCTTTGCAGCTAAATGGACCATAACATCATCATCAAAGATTATATTCCTAATGTCTTGCAGCCTATCTTTTTGAGAGAAAATTGTTATATACTCATGGAAACCAGGAAGGGCCCTTTTTTGTGAGCAGTTTGACGGCTCTTTGTTTCCAAAAGATTTCTAGGGTGTCAAGCAAACAGTATGATATGTTGGCATATTGGATCTGTGCTGCATGCTTTAAAAAGCTGCTCAGCATATTGGTATATGGGTCAAGACCAACGCAAAGGCAGTTAACAACAACAAAAATATTAGTATAACTTGTATCTAGAAAGAGGTTAATTGCACAGATATTTGTTCAGTGAGCAAATGAAGTATTTGTGTCTTTCCTGCTATTTGCAAAAAACAACTTGGAAAAACTGGCTGAGTATGAGGAAAAGAACTAGTTCAAAACTAAGAAATCTTCCCGGTGTCTTGCACAACAGTGGCCATAATCCCTTACCACAGGCCATGTTGGCTATGGTTTTTGTGAGTCCAAAAACATGAAGGGTAGAAGGTCCCATGTGGTTAGGGACTGGGCTTAACCCTTCTCCCCATTAATCTAACTCACAGGAGTCTTGAGAAGATAAAATTGGGAGTGAGAACCATGTGTCTACACTCAGCTCTTTCAAGGAAAAGTAGAATATAACAACCATATTCTTGAGTTTTCCAGGGCTTTCTGAAATAAACCAAATATGGAAATTCTTGAGCCATGGTTGTCATGTAAACCTAATGTCATCTGATCCTTTCAAACTAACGTCTAGAAAAGAAGCATTTCATACAAGATCCAGTCCCTGTCTTATCCCCGGTATCTATAAAGAAGACCCCAGTCTGAAACCCTGAAAACCCATTGGTTGCCAGTGTAGATCAGGATTGACAAAGTGCAGTCTATGGGCAGCAAGTGGCCCTCATGGCCATTTTTGTGGTCCTCAAGTCCTCCCATGGGTAAAAAAAAATCTACTGTATGCTATCTCAGCACACTGTATAGTACTAAGACAGATCACTGGTGTGATCCATTATATCTTGGTTTCCTGTCTTTCTACCTTAACCACTTTGGTTCTACTGACATCAGAGATCTGAAGCCTGAAAGTTAAGTGCTGGTAAGGTTTCCCTGGGAATTGGGAAGGGGCATCTGATATCAAACCTCCCCCTCTGAGAATGAGTGTGAGTCCCCATCCCAGGAAAAATCCACATTCCCTTGGATGATAGGATTCTTGCCACAGCAAATCTAACAATTCTGTGGAATGTTAGATGTCTAGCTTTACAGAAACTGATATGGTATTTCAACACCACACACACACACACATACACACACACACAGAATATGCAACAAAGTTTATACTGTTAAATTAATATTTCTTCTTTTCATACACAATATTCACAGAGATATTTATTCTCAAAGCTGCCAAGGCATGCATATTTCATAGCCATTAGTTTTAAATTATAATTGAAATATCCAAGTGAATGGTTCAAATTTAAGCTGCCACTTACTAGGGTAGGGAAAAGGGGGATAAATAGATTACAATATGAAAAATTAATTTATGGCAGCATTAAAAATTTTAGGTTATAAAAAGAGGTGAAGCAGTAAATTTAACTCTTAATGTCTTTTTTTCTTTTTACAAATCATGTGTGCTAGAATTAGAGGCTTCAGTTGTAAGCAATCTTTGGACAGAGAAAATTTGTTAAACTTTAAGGTACAACTCTTGTTGTTTCTATTCAACTAACGAATTATTTTTCTAGAATAAAGTAGGTAACTATTTTTCTAGAATAAAGTAGGCTAGTAGGTTATTTAAATTTGGCCCCCAGATTAGACTACACAATTCTCTAAAAAAATCTCAAGAGAGTTGGCAGCTAGTTCCATGGGGGCTAACAAGGCCATTAATCTTATACTCCAGGGCCATGTAGAGCAAAACCAACTCAGGACATTATCACATGTGGGCCACTTTCATTGTTAAAGAGAAAATAAAGTGGAAATAAACC